AATATTACATGTTAATAACTTGATTGGAATTATAACCTTGAATTGACAGTTTGATACTTTGAAAATTTTGAGCCAGCCCTACCCCCAAGGGCTGTAGGGTGGGGCTCAAAGGAGTCAGTGTGCTAAAATTTCTTCATTTTCCTTGTTTAGAATCAGAGGTGCTAGTTTCAAATACTTTTTAGTCTGAAATCTGTATGCTAGATATTGAATAAGGTGGTTTTATTGTTTTTTGTCACTTTGAATAATATTTCTGTTCATGTTAAAAACAAAATCAACTCTCTGTATAAATATATCATGTGACCGTTAAGGCCCATGGGCCTCTTGTTATTTTTATATTGGATTTTTTTAAACCAAATCTGTTTTAGTTTACAACAGTTTGATGTACTGAATATGAAAATCACAGAAATTAAATCTGGGATAGAGAAGTTAATTAAGGGTTTCGCAAAGGGGGCTTCCCTCCTAATGATAAACATATTTTAAGTATCATACACACATAACTAGGCTATAAATGTATTCTTAAACAAATTATAAATGCAAACATTTATGAACTTGACAAGAGGTCTCATGGGCCTGCATCACTCACCTGGTATTAATCTCACAACTGTAATCTTAAAAGTGAACTAAAAGTAAGCTACAGGCAAAATATCAGTGTCTTGATTCAAAGTAATTCAAAAGAACCTGGTGAAAAATGTAAACACATTTGACCCCTGTAACCATTTTTTCTTTTATTGGTGGTTGAGTAGGAGGTGTCCTTGGTCTCCTTGGCATTGTAGGAAACGATATCTACAAATGCTGTTGCAAGAAGGAACAAGGTAACAAAACTGGATTCGGTTTTTATAAACTGTGTGACATTTACATTGTAGCTGATACAATTTTAATACTATGGGTCACTTACAGCAAAATATATATTTTTGTGTGTAAAATTAGGTTTGTATCCATTTATATCAAATTCAAAGCAAATTCTAATATGTCTACATAATTCAATTTGGGTTATTCCCCCAATACTAGACTGTTTGGGCTATGTCGTATAACCTAAAAACACAGAAAGTGATGACAGTGTTGTATACAGTGATGTTTGGTGGGATATTTATAATTCTAATCTCTGATCGATCGAAGTTGCTCCACGGTGAAATTACTTCAAAGTGTTGTGCTTTGTACATTTTTTTTTTTATCAGAAATAAGTTTAAATATTCATCTGCTAAAAATGTGTTGTCTGTCTTTTTAAACTAGATTATTAGGGATCTAATTGTATTGGGGGTTATATAGCATACACCAATTGGACTTTGCAGATTCATGTAAAGTGCACACAGCTAATTCTTAGTATGTACAATATTATATTCATAAAATTATTTTACAATAACATGAAATAAGAAGATGATGCCTTTTTTTGAAAAACTCTTCACTGAAAAAGTGTGCTTAAATTTTGGATATAGGTCAATGTTATATGTGTATTCAATACTAGGTGATTTTTTGAAAACCAGTGGTGAAAAGTTGGGTTAAAATACCGGTAATTTTACTGATAGAGGGAATTATATTATATCTTATACTCAATCAGATTCGTTGGCAGAAAATGAGGAAGGTCGACGCAGTGAACCCATTGAGTCTGAAGGTGTCACCCCTGGAGAGCAAGCAGGTAAGATAGCAAACTGGCTCCTGGCTGCAATGGGACCACCCCATCACCATTAGGGACTCCTGAACCAACAGTAGACAATGGAGAACACGACTCTTTGTCTCCCCTTATATCTTCTGTATTAGATGCAATTTGTAAGTTCATATCAGTTTGGTGTCTTGTTTATGATAATCACAAGAAATTAAGTCTGGGGTAGAGAAATTTAGGGTAGGGCAGGGGGTCTTCACTTTACCATAATGGTGAAATGACGGGTTTCAGCATATATTTTTTTATATTGGGACTTTTTTTAAACCTAATCTGTGTTAGTTTACATCAGTTTGATGTACTGAATATGAAAATCACAGAAATTTAATCTGGGGTAGAGAAATTAATTAAGAGTGGGGCAAAGGGGGCTTCCCTACAACCTAATCACATAACTAGGCTATACATTTATTCTTAAACAAATTATAAATGCAAACTTACCTATATGAAATTGACAAGAGGTCCCATGGGCCTGCATCACTCACCTGGTATTAATCTCACAACTGGAATCTTAAAAGTGAACTAAAAGTAAGCTACAGGCAAAAAAGTAATTCAAAAGAACCTGGTGAAAATATTTAACACATTTGACCCCTGTAACCATTGGTGGTTGGGTAGGGGGTGTCCTTGGGGCCCTCGGGTCTCCTTGGCATTGTAGGAGTCAATATCTACAAATGCTGTTACAAGAAGGAACAAGGTAACAAAACTGAATTCGGTTTGTATAAATTGTGTCACATTTACATTGTAGCTTATACAATTTTTATACTATGGGTCACTTTCAGCAAAATATATGTGTTTGTGTAAAATTAGGGGGATATCCATTTACATTAAATTCAATGCAAATTCTTATATGTCTACATAATTCAACTTGGGTTATTCCCCCAATACTAGACTGTTTAGACTATGTCGTAAAACCTAAACACACAGAAACTGATGGAAGTGTTGTATACAGTGATGTTTGGTGGGATATTTGTAATTCTAATCTCTGATTGATCGAAGTTGCTCCACGTTGAAATTTCTGCAAAGTGTTGTATAACATTGTTTTTTTTTATCAGAAATAAGTATTAATATTCATATCTTACAAATGTGTTGTCTGTCTTTTTAAACTAGATTATTAGGGATAACTCTAATTGTATTGGGGGTTATATAGCATACACCAATTAGACTTTGCAGATTCATGCAAAGTGCACACAGCTTATTCTTCAGTATGTACAATATTATATTCATAAAATTATTTTACAATAACATGAAATAAGAAGATGACACATTTTTTGAAAAACTGTTCGTTCAGAAAATTTTATTCGCTCAAGAAAATAAAACACGTGAAAAATATATCAAATCATGTGATAATATAGAATAAAATAACAATGTACAAGACTGACTGCTTAGAAATAAACATATAAATATATGTTAAATATATTCATATAGGCATTCAGAGTGATATATGATTTGTTCAAAATGAATGGTATTTGACATTTCAGTTCAACACAGCAATGGGACCACCAGATCACAATTAGGGACTTCTGAACCAACAGGCAATGGGACCACCAGATCACAATCAGGGACTTCTGAACCAGCAGGCAATGGGACCACCAGATCGCAATCAGGGACTTCTGAACCAAAAGGCAATGGGACCACCAGATCCCAATCAGGGACTTCTGAACCAACCGGCAATGGGACCACCAGATCACAATTAGGGACTTCTGAACCAAAAGGCAATGGGACCACCAGATCACAATTAGGGACTTCTGAACCAACAGGTAATGGGACCACCAGATCACAATCAGGGACTTCTGAACCAACAGGCAATGAAGGAGAAGAATACTCTGAATCTCGTGAATTAGATACAATTTGTAAGTTCATATCAGTTTGATGTCTTTGATATGATAATCACAAGAAATTAAGTCTGGGGTAGAGAAATTAGGGGAAGAGCAGGGGGTCTTCACTTTACCATAATGGTGAAATGACGGGTTATCAAGTTTGTTTAAATGAATGACCTTGACCAATTTTCAAGGTCACAGGGTCAAATGTCTTAAAACCTTTAAACAACTCCTCAATAACCAAAAGACCCATTGTATTGTTGCAAATGTCTATATGATTGTAAATGATTTTATTATGAAATGAAAATATGATCATGAGCCTTCCTTCAAAAGATTTTATTCCCCCAAGAAAATAAAACTCATGAAAAAATATATAAATACATGTAATAATATAGAATAAAATAACAATGTTCAAGACTGACTGGTTAGAAATAAACCTATAAATATATGTTAAATATATTCATATAGGCATTCAGAGTGATATATGATTTGCTCAAAATGAATTGTATTTTACATTTCAGCTCCTCGGACCACCCCAACAGAATTAGAAACTTTAGTAACAGAAGACAATGAAGGAGAGCAAGACTCTGCAACCAATTCAACTCCCTTATTACGACAAAACCTAGGAGAAACTGCGGTATAAAAGTCAACACGCTCTCCGATGGTCTGCACCATAGTACATTATGGTTGCTACAGGATCACTGGACCATCAAGCCTGCCAATATATACAAAGATTTTACAAGGTGTAGTCAAAGTCAAATTGATGTGTGGTATATTCTTTTGCATTTGGTCTCGCAAGTTATCTTGAAAAACTATATACATTGTACAGTCTGTACCACAGTTCTACTTGGGTATGTTGTATTCCGAGATAAAATGCAAAAAGAAATTCAAATGTGATTCGGCGCGAAAGGTAGGCATATTGATATGCCTTTGTGACCTATATACTGGAATATGCCTTTGTGGAATATAATTTTGTGACCTATCCGCTGGTTCCTAACTTTGTGACCACAACGATAGTTATACAGGTGAACCAGAGTTATTTTATGCTGTTAACCAATCCACCCATTATAGATGTTGAAAACATCTCAGGTGATGCTCTGCCAAGCAATATCTTTGTTGATTAATGGCTTCTGCTGTTTGCTCCATACAAACATAACTGTAGTAAGGATATACTGTACATGCACATCTTTTTGAGTGGCTTAACTGTGGTAATTAGAACAAGAAATTTGGTTTAAAGTCGAGACTGATTGATCAAGAGTGTATTTCATTGTTTAATTTCTGGTTAGCCTGTCATCAGAATAATGTGTCAGGTCGGGTGTCATAATACCTTGTCAGAGTTATGACTTTTCAGTTCCAAAATTTACCTGTGGTACTACACTCTTATTAATACATAACAGTTTTAGTACATTAAATTGTTTTACAATTTTTCAATGAGATATAGGAAAATAAGTGTCATATAGGATAATTTTGCAGTCATGCATCACTTCTTTAGTTAGCCTGACGTCAGAATAATGTGACAGGTCGGAGTGTCATAATAATGTGACGGGTTGGGGTGTGATAATACTTTGTCAAGGTTACGACATTTCAGTGAGATAACACTTTAAAGTGGCCCCACTATCTGTGGACATCGTCTTCATATGGCATCAAATGTTACGAGGACGCAAAACAACGAACATAACATTTACGTTCGGATACATTGTTGTGTTTAAAACATGAAAGTTGTGAAAATATCCATTTACCTGGTATATATATTTTTTTTAATTCTGTGGAACCTTTCCACTTCAGACACTCAAAATTTGGATCTGAAACAAATTACAATTGAACCATCATGACTTACTTAAAATTAATTCATTTTTACTCCATACATTTAATGTAATCATGATATTATTGAATTTGGCTTAGTTCAATGGCAGTATTGTATCGTAGTCGGCATCCTAGCTGCTGAACATGATATATACTTGGTACACTGATTCTAATGTGAAGTGATTGTGATATAATATTGATGTTTTATTGTATTGAAAATACAAACCAATGGACATTTTTACTCTTTAATTATCTTGTGTTTGATTTTTAGCTCACCTAGCACGAAGTGCCAAGTGAGCTTATGCCGTGGCGCGTCTTCTGTCCATCCGTCCGTCCGGCGTCCGGCATCAATATTTTAGTTTAAACGCCTTCTTCTTAATAACCGAAAGGCCTAAGGTGATGATATTTGGCCAGAAGCAAACTGGGATGAAGGGCTACAAAGTTTGTTAAAACTAATGACTTTCACCCATTTTCAAGGTCACAGGGGTCAGATATGTTAAAAACTTTAAACATCTTCTCGATAACCAAACTTCCCAGGGAGATGATATTTGGCCAGTAGCATGCATGGGTGAAGGGCTACCAAGTTTGTTCAAATGAATGACTTTCAATTATATTCAAGGTCACAGGGGTCAATTGTCTTAAAAAACCCTTTAAACAACTTCTTCTGAATAACCAAAATGCCCAGGGTGATGATATTTGGCCCGTAGCATGCTGAGATGAAGGGCTACAAAGTTTGTTCAAATGAATGACCTTCACCCATATTCAAGGTCACAGGGGTCAAATATGTTAAAAACTTTAAACAACTTCTTCTGAATAACCAAAATGCCCAGGGTGATGATATTTGGCCAGTAGCATGCTGAGATGAAGGGCTACAAAGTTTGTTCAAATGAATGACCTTCACCCATATTCAAGGTCACAGGGGTCAAATATGTTAAAAACTTTAAACAACTTCTTCTGAATAACCAAAATGCCCAGGGTGATGATATTTGGCCAGTAGCATGCTGAGATGAAGGGCTACAAAGTTTGTTCAAATGAATGACCTTCACCCATATTCAAGGTCACAGGGGTCAAATATGTTAAAAACTTTAAACAACTTCTTCTTAATAACCAAAATGCCCAGGGTGATGATATTTGGCCAGTAGCATGCTGAGATGATGGGCTACACAATTTGTTTAAATGTATTACCTTGAATCATATTCAAGGTCACAATGAGCAAATATGTTCAAAATATTTAAACAACTTCTTCTGAATAACCAAAATGCCGAGGGTGATGATATTTAGCCAGTAGCATGCTGAGATAAAGGGCTACAAAGTTTGTTCAAATCAATGACCTTCACCCATATTCAAGGTCACAGGGGTCAAATATGCTAAAAACTTCTAAACAACTTCTGCTGAATAACCAAAATGCCCAGGGTAATGATATTTGGCCAGTAGCATGCTGAGATAGAGGGCTACAAAGGTTGTTCAAATAAATGACTTTCACCAATATTCAAGGTCACAGGGGTCAAATATGTTAAAATCTTTAAACAACTTCTCCTGAATAACCAAAATGCACAGGATGATGATATTTGGCCAGTAGCGTGCTGGGGTAAAGGGTTTGCAAGTTTGTTTGAATGAATGACCTTCACTTATATTCAAGGTCACAGGGGTCAAATATGTTAAACAACTTCTTCTGAATAACCAAAATGCACAGGGTGATGATATTTGGCCAGTAGCATGCTGAGATGAAGGGCTACAAAGTTTGTTCAAATGAATGACCTTCACCTATATTCAAGGTCATTGGGGTCAAATATATGAAAAACATTAAATAAACATAATAACCAAAATGCACAGGGTGATGATATTTGGCCATTAGAATGCTGAGATGAAGGGCTACAAAGTTTGTTTAAATGTATGACCTTGAATCATTTTCAAGGTCACAAGGAGAAAATGTGTTCAAAATATTTAAACAACTTCTTCTGAATAACCAAAATGCTCATGATGTTGATATTTAGTCAGATCAAAGACTACTATGTTTGTTAAAGTGAATGACTTTGACTTATATTCAAGGTCACAGGGGTCAAATTTGTTTAAAATCTTTAAACGACCTCTTCTGAATAACCATGGGTCCCAGGATGTTGATACTGTGCAAGTTGCATACTGAGATGAAAGGCTTTACAATTTGTTCAATATAATGACTTTGTTCGACTTTCAAAGTAACAGGGGTGAAATGTTTTAAAATCTTTTAACGGGTTCTTTTGAATGACTTTAATCATAAATACTGATATTTTGCCTGTAGCTTTATTTTAGATCACTTTTAAGGTTGCAAGTGTGAGATTTATACCAGGTGAGCGATGCAGGCCCATTGGGCCTCTTGTGTTTATTTAATTATGCAAAATATTGATGTTTTATTGTATTGAAATTACATACCAACGGACATTTTTACTAATTTAATATCTTGTGTTTATCTAATCATGCAAAATATTGATCTGTCATTACTAACATCATTTTTGACTCCATTATGTATAATCTTAACTTCCCTCAAGTTCAGTAGGTTGGTCCGCTGTTTATTCTGTCAAATTTTAAAGTTGTTTATGGTGGATTTCTACAATCTGATTGGCTGGTAGTTTCTTTGACATAACTTCAGTTTCTAACCTCATCTTCACCCAGTTTTATAATATAATAATAACAATAGTGCTTTATTTCTCATTTTTCAGTATGCTCAAGATATTTTAATATTTATAAATGAAGGTTACATTAGTATATTCATAGGTCATAATAGTTCATGAAGAATTATGATACATATATAGTATGCAAATTGAAAAAAATGAACAGCAATATGTACAGAGTAGTTCACTATCTGCTGCCTGTATATTATTCAGATACATGTATTAAGTGTTAAATTAACATGAAGTTCTAGAAAGAAAATTAAATGTCTAGTATTTTTATTTGCTTTCTTGTTGATTTCATTGATCATTGATTTGTTCTATTTTGCTTGTTGTTTGTCTAATATTCTTCTAAAGAATTCTGCGCAGTGATAATAAAATTGCTATGTTTTAAGAGGTGAAACAGGAATTTTATGGCATTTTTTTTTTTTAATTTTACATATTTGTTAACAGCAACATGTACCAACAAACACAAAAAAGAGTGGTTTATTCTATTTTCTGCGTCATAGGCCTATGTTAACATTGCAATGTAATGCACAGGTATTTTTTTTCACTTTGATTTAAAAGTTGTAATTTTTAATGTTTTCATATCAAACGAACCTTGATTATACTTGGAAACAGTGAGAAGGGTGGCTCATACAAGTTTTCTTAATGAATAGAATATTAGAAGTGTTATATAATTGGATTATATAAGTTCGACACATCGAGAAATTTGATTTATGAAAGTTTGATTGTATTAATATTGTTATTGAGGCACATGTATGAAAAGAAAATGTTTCCCAACCATCCCCTAAGGTTATTTCTTCTAATCAGTAACACGACTCCTGTCTAAAACCTTGGAAATATCTACTGGTACTTCCCAATCTATCGGTGGCCCCACAAGCAATGAAATGTCGGTGCTTATTACCTCCTCTGTTCAAAGAGCAGAGCCTACAAAGTACATTTGACCCCAGCTTTATTGTAGGACAGGTTTTAGAGGTAAGCTATGTAAATACTTGCCATCTTTTATAAATATATGTGCTAACATGTTGAAATTTTACATGCTAGTTTATTTGAAAAACTTGCCAGCTCTTCTAATTTTGGAGGGAGACTCCCAATTTTGAACCCTAAAATGCAGAATGTTTAACCAGTGATTTCAGTTTTTTAAGGCCTGATGATTTCATCTGAAATAATAGTTCAAAAGATGCCATTTAATAGTATTACGGTGTATAATTCTGAGCATGTGTAATTTCCCCCATGAAAATATTAAAACGTTGGCAAGTATGCATTGATGCTAAATGAAAGCATAATTGGAAAATACATTGTACTTGTGCTGCTCTTTTGCACAAAAATTAACAGAGTGAAATTTTTGGTGCCAGATATAAGTTTTGTTATTGGTTCAGTATTGTTTGTGCTAGTAAAATATTTTTTTAAGATTTGGGGACAGAGGTTACATGAAATAGTGTTTACCTTTGAAATTTTAAAACGCATGTGTGACGTACTACAGGGGAGATTATTTTTCCCTGCTATGGACTTAATGTTATTATGTGTTTGTCAAATGGCATTTTCTTTTTTTTTTGAGATGTGAATTTACACCCAGGTCAAATACATTTACACAAGATATACTATGCATATAGAGACATCGCTATGTTCAGTGACCTATCGTCATACTGTATATTGTTGAGAAGTTAAAAAACTGATCCATTTAGACAAGGAGTTCAGATTTCTATTTTCATGAACGATATACCTCAGGGTTTGTCCAGTGAAAGCTATGATTAAATATCTACAGATGAGACAGATGGTGCTACTAAAGTATCTCCTTTATTTATTGAACCCAATAACTCTATTTTAACAAGAGATCATTTCATAACCTATGTTAGACACATCTTGTCCGTCTTTGGTATAGATAGCTCAAAATACTGTGGACATTCCTTTCGTATAGGTGCAGCTACTATCGCTGCTTTAGTTGGGGTAGAGAATCATATAATTTAAACCTGCGGTTGCTGGACATCCAACTGCTACTCCCGGTACATTAGAACAGCAATTAATATAAGGTGATTATAAAGCAGCACAAAATCAGATGTGTGTGAGGTAAAAAAACAAAAAAACTAAAACTCAAGAATTTTGTTCCCCTATGTATCATATATCTTTCTTGGGACTCTCTTGCAATATTCGACAGTGCATGGTCTCTATTCCAATCGCTTTGGCCTTATAAATTCAACGTTTTGAATTTTTCCCCCCAATTCAGGTAAAGTGATTACAGTTACACTTTTCATATGTATACTTATTGTATTAAGTAACCAATATAAATGTATTTGTATATACCTGCCTGGCTCACCTGTCCACATGTACTTTATACAACCATACATCTACTAGGCTTCCCTCAGTGTCCATGTCTACTATGAAACTTTCTTTCATGTAGAAACTGTCTTTCTAGAATCGAAACAAACATGCAATGTAGCGCCTAAGATTGCCAAAGTTTATAAACGTTTGAGTAATATATATAAGATCAATTGAATTTTAAGTAGGTCATTACTTGATTACCATGTGCTTAGTTGCATAAGGTCAGAGATGAGGTCATTGTACTAATTATTTATAGACATCACGCGCGCACGTGACCATTAATGACCAGTGGTCCGTCAGTTTACATAAAGAGATTAAAGAGGCTGGGTAATTATTTTAGCTCATGCGGTAGAAAGCAAT